AATATTCTCTCAACATATTCTCCCAGAATATACTCTCTATTTCATCCTCTCTATATATATCTAATACTATATTCGAATAAGTGTTATCCTCGTTGTCAACATGTTATTATATCATAACACTGCCCATCATAACACGATTCACAGAACGTGACCATGCTATAACACAGTATGGCCATGTTACAACACAACATGAACACAACCATGCTATAACACAGTATGGCCATGTTACAACACAACATAACACAACCATGCTATAACACAGTATGGCCATGTTACAACACAACATAACGCAACCATGCTATAAAACAACACGACCATGCTATAACACAACCCGACCATGCTATAACACAACACAACCATGCTATAAAACAACACGACCATGCTATAACACAACACGACTGTGTTGTACCTACTATACTATAACATGACCATGATATGTACGTCATGCAGGGCACGCTGCAGCAGTTTGTCGACGACCTGTTCCGTGGCATCTTCAACCACGAGCTGTCACGCCACAGCCCCGTCCTGCTGCCCATCAAGTACATGTTTGACTTCCTAGACGACCAGGCTCTCCAGCATGACATACACGATGCTGAGGTCGTGCACACCTGGAAGTCTAACAGGTATGACGGGGTTTCTCTACAGGGGTCTCGACAGCTTCCCTGCTTCCCTGCCCATGACTTCTCTCTCTCTCTCTCTCNCCCATCTATCTCTCTCAGCTCCATCTATCTCTCTCAGCCCCATCTATCTCTCAGCTCCATCTATCTCTCTATCTCCCATCTTTCTCAATGCCTCAGATATTGTTTCACATCTGTGCCTTTGCATGTTGCAGTTTAAATGGTCCGATGCAGACGGTGTGGAGAGAGTGAATAAGCTAGTCTCTGAGATATATCTCAACCGACTGCTCTACACTAAGGTAAGATACCAGCAGGAATCTACATATAACAGTGCATTCTATAATATTAAATCGTAAATAGTAATAATCATGATAATAAAATCATATTCTGCAAATCTAATACCTAGTCTCAGTGGAAATGCATTCTTCTATCAATATCCTCTCGACATATTTGCCCAGCATATACTCTCTATTTCATCCTCTTTATATATATCTAATACTATATTCGAATAAGTGTTATCCTTATTGTCAACATGTTATGATATCATAACACTGCCCATCATAACACGATTCACAGAACGTGTACGCATAACATGACCATGCTATAACACAGTATGGCCATGTTACAGCACAACATAACACAACCATGCTATAAAACAACACAACCATGCTATAAAACAACACAACCATGCTATAACATAACACAACCATGCTATAAAACAACACAACCATGCTATAACACAACACGACCATGCTATAACACAACACGACCATGCTATAACACAACACGACCATGCTATAACACAGCACGACCATGCTATAACACAACACAACCATGCTATAACACAACACGACCATGCTATAACACAACACGACCATGCTATAACACAACACGACCATGCTATAACGCAGCACGACCATGCTATAACACAACACAACCATGCTATAACACAACACGACCATGCTATAACACAG